TCAGTGAAAATAATCGTGATTATCATTTTTGCCATAATCGAGCAGCCCTACTTTCTTCTTCTTGATGGGGGAGTTACTCCCTCTAAATCAAACACAGTCGAACCGTCCAGTCCTGTTCAGTTTACACACTGCAAATGACTCTGACTCAGACCGAATCAGAGTCTGACTAAACCCGCAACTTGTTGCCAAATGTTTACGATTTCCAACACTTACAGAGTCAAACATGGTACAGAGAGAGTGGAGAGGAAAACAAAGAAAAAACCATCCTGTAATCTCCTCATGACAAAAAACGCGGGCAGGTAGAACTCCATCTCTAACCTTGAGCGCCTCAGCGGAGCATTCAGAAGTACTGTCATAGCTTCATAAAGGAACAACCAAAGCAGGTCACAGAAAATAGTAAAAAGTAGCATGATAAAAACAGTGTTTAGACATTTAAGGCGCAGCTGATAGTTTTAACGTTTACATCATCATGTGTAACAGTGGTTTACTGTAGGCCTCTTCCACACTGGACAGAAAAGGTTCCACCTCAGATGTAGGAAAAATTTCATGTCAGAGCCACAGTTTGGTAGGATAGGTGCTGGTGTTTGTTCTTCACCTCTTTGAAAGTGATCATCTCGATGGTGTAGTCCGGGTAAAAGGAGGCTCGGTTAGTGTCTCTGGCCGAGCGGAGCACTTTGTCCTCATCCCTGTAGTAGAGAAACTTAACAAGGATAAGCTGGACCCCATCCGCCGCTCGTCCCATTAGTGTGCTCTCTCTATGAGGACCGTTGCTTGGAAGTGTTCCTCCCCATAGAGCCTGGGATGATGTAGCCAAATACATCATCACCCTCGGACTTCTCCGGGATATTAACACTCGTAACATTAGCTCTCCTGCTCTGTGCGTTGGCCAGGTTGTCTTCATTAGCTCCATTGTGTCTGCTTTGCAAAGAACTGAAGTCGTGTTATCACCATAACACAGCTGTTTCTGTCCTGATGCATTTTCCTCTTTACTCGCACTTTTGCATTTTTGCCCAACAAAAATAAAAGTAACGGCCACATCCATGCTGTAGACTGTAGACTGTTTTCCACCACCGTGAACTAAAATCATCTGATTGTAGTGCAAGTGCAGCTGGAACTGGTAAGTAGAATCGATACCAGCAGACTAACGAGTCTGAGGAACTGGACTGTTCAGCTGAATTCAGTTTTATTTATGTAGCAGCCGATTAGGGCTGGGCGATATGGCCTAAAATTCATATCGCGATATAATTTGAAGCATGTGCGGTAACGATATATAT